TCCTCCTGTTTCCTTCCCCACAACAACCCTGTGAGGTGAGTTGGGCTGAGAGAGAGTGACTGGTCTAAAGTCACCCACCTGGTTTTTCAAGTTTAAGGCAGGACTAGCATTTACAGCCTCCTGGTTTCTAGCTGGTGCTTTAACCACTAGACCAAACTAACTATCTCATATAGGTTTCTTGCTACATACATCTAGCTTTGCATCTAATGCCAAGTACTCAAACTCTAAATTTCAGAAACTTGTTCTTATTCTTAGGTTTTGCATTACATGTGTATTTGGGTTTACATATGTTCATACATTAAGAAGAAAAGAGAGGTTCTTCCTTCCAGCAACTTTAGTAAAAATAGTGGCCTAGATTTTTAGGTTGAATTGAATCAAACAATCAAGCAAAGATGAAAGAAAAATGAAAAGAAAATCAGGGGTATTTCTGCCTTGCAGTCATCTTGAAAGTTCATTGTATCTTTTCAAATGTCAGCTGCTGTTTTTCCAATTTCCCAGATCCTTCCTTTATTACTTTATTCGTAGTTGCAAAAGCATGTGTCTTAATGCTCATATGTATGTAATATAGGATGCAAGGGAGAGTTCCTGCCTCCCCCCCCCCACAAAAAAAAGGTTTCTCCTTTGAGAAGCATTTTTATTTCTTTTTTTTTTAAATAAAATTTTTATTTTCAAACAAACACAAACACACAAGACATATAACATAAAAACCTCTTCAACAGCAATACAGTGTGTCGATTGGTTACAAGGTCTTTCTGTGTCCTTTCCATAGACATCACTTGAGCCTTATCAAAATTCACATATTGTCAATCAAATATATATATACATTATTATTATACTTCATTTGTTTGCTTATCACGATTGTTTCTCCATTTTAAACAAGGTATTCTAAATATATCCATTTATATTGTAATGATTCATTATATCATCTTCAATATATCCAATAAGAAAGAATTTTTATATCCTATTCTAAATCATTCTGTTATTTTAGGATTGATAACATTCTCTAATAATTTTCAATTCCATGTTTTTCCATTATTAGTATCATCAATTCAATATACATGTATACAAATTGTTATAATTGTTAAACATCTATTAAGCATAGCTATTATTACATCCTTTTTATATGAAATATGTTAAATTTTAAGTAAATTATGGCATTTCATTACATCATCCTGAAATCATCCAATGATATTNCCCCCCCGACTTCTGGAGGCAAGCCGTTCCACTGGTTAATTGTACTCACTGTTAGGAAATTTCTGCATTGGAATTGAAACTGTACTGGTCCTTAACTACTCTATAGTGTTAAAATAGTGCTGAAGGGTGCCCATCACTAACAGCCTCAACATTTATAAAATCTGTTATTCTCTGTCACCTATTATTTGAGGAGAAGGCAGATGGCTTAGAACAGCAGCTGACTATGGATCAGTAAATGGCAACAGCAATTTCATGTCAACATAGTTTTCTTCTGACTCAAGGATGGGTGGATAGCAGTTTGGCTCAGCAAGTGGGGAAAAGTCACCCCTCCATGCTCAATTGGCAGTGAAACAGTAGCCAGAGCTGTGCAGTTTTGGTTCAGTGTTATAAGCTTCAGATTTTCTCCCATATTCTTTGGCTCTTAATGGCTAAGAGAAGGTACTGTGATTCAGAACATTTTTCACTTAGATCCTGTCCTTGCTGTTGACTCAGACTAAGGCAAGGGACTTTCTCCTTCAACCTCACTTTTACAGAGTTGTAAAGACTCCAAGCAGAATCCAAATTTACTTTTCAGAGTAAGCGTTCCGCAATGAATGGAAGTTAAGTTAGTCATCTAACTATATTTCATTGGCTTCAACGGGGAACTATAAGTAGGACTAATTCTATAGTAACATCGTGTCTACAAAATGTGTTGAACACTGAGAAACTCTACCTAAATATAGATATTTATAAATGTAATCGTGTTGGTTACTCTACTTTACCTTACAGGCAATTTTTAAGCATAGGAAGAAACAGGATACACTGCTTTTCTCTTCTTTTCATCCCTACCTCTCATCCTATAAAGTTATTCAACAGCACTAATGCAAAATCTGGTAGCATAGAGAACATTTTTAAACCAGTTGAAGTAAGCTTACTCATTCACACTGTCATACAAAACACAAAGCCAACTAAGCATTTTTGCTGAACCTTTAGCTGGCTGGGTGGATGGGTAATTTTAATTCAACAAACTGTAGGGGGGAAGAACTAGAAACATATTCCATATTTCACCACATATCCCCTATAATCATATTATTTGTTCCTCCAAGCATATTTACAATATGGTGGAATGGGAATCTGCAGCAAAAGCAGCTATTAAAATTAAGATGATCAGGCTTTGATTCTGGGTTAATATTTATGGAATATTTCTCTCAGCATAGTCATAGATGGGATGAAAGGTTGTTGCCCATGAGAGGTAATATTTTGCTGTCAGGACAAACAAACATTAGAGGTAATAGCCACAGAATGTGATTGTACTGTAAAATAGCATGGACATATAATTGTTTACCAATTGCTATTCCTGTTAATATAACTGGTATAAAAATTGGTCATGATGAAAAATGAATCATTTGAAGCTCTTATATAAGAGGCAAGCAACCTAGAGAAATGGGAAGTAGAATCCAGCAGATGGCATTCATCTTTCTTCACAATTTATGTATCATATTTTGTTATTTTGTTACATACTGTACATGATTCATTTAATCATATGAGAAGGATTTAGCTGGGCAGCATACCTTACATTTACTTTTGTCTGACCAAATTTCAAGAGTATTTCAGGACTGAATTGAGAAGTTTAAAAAGGTGATGCTGAGTACATTCACAAGGAGATGTTGGCTACAATCCTGGTCAGTTACTTACTGCGTGACCCGTCAAAAGCGTGAACGTCATAAGCGCGCCGACAACANTTCATGCCTGGGTCACTTTTAAGCCTGCTTTCCAGGCTGCTTTGCCAGGCAATTGTGGCCTGAAGGAGGAGGTGTCAGAGGTGCAGCTGATGCTTTAAAAAAAAAAAAAAACTGCTGCAATGACCAGGCTTGGTTGGGGAGGAAGGAAAACCCAAAACAGGGAGGGAGAACCCATCACAAAGATCTAGGCTAGGAAAATAATGTATGGGGACCTGGACATCCTGATCGCTCTCCGTCTCTGTCCTGTGGGGACTCTGGATCTGAGGGCTGAAACTCGGGGTGGTGAAGACTGTTGTGGGAAGGCCTATACATCTCTCTCCTCCACCACCACCTCTTCTCCTGCTGCAGCACTCCGTATGAATGGAACAGGGATTTAAAAAAAAAAAAAGCCCTCTCTGCAGGGATGCTGATTCGACTGTGCGGGTTTATAAGATGGGCTTGGTTACGAGAGCGACTGCTTAAATAAATGCCTGAGAATGGGTTTTATGGAAATCTGTCTTCTGTAGCTCCTTGCCTTCTTTCTTGGTCAGGCACTGGAGGGAAGATTGGAGCTTGTGGGGTGGGGGGGGGGAATCTATCCATCTCTCTGCAATGATGCAGGGAAACTCAGACCACAGGCCTCTCTCCCGGGTCCTTTAATTTCTGTATGCCTGTGGGTAGAAAGAGCGTTGAGGCTTCAAAGGGGGGGGGGGAGGGGAGGTGGATTTCTGCAGTGGCCAAAAAAAAAAAGAAAGAAAGAAAGAAAGAAGAAGACATCCTGTCTGTATAAGGGGCCAGGATACGTTTGCATATTTGCCAGCGTATATGTGTTTGTGCATGTTTGGGAGTTGTTATCCCCCCCCCCCGAATCATTATAATAAAGATCTGGAGCAGGTGGATAAAAGAAACAGAAGAGGCAGCAGGGAATAAGGAAGGGCCAATTTTGCTGAATAATCATTTCTTGATTGTGGCGGCAGACAGTTTATACAAAGATGATTAAAGAATATCCCTATGAATGGGCAGATGGATGGATGTTATTCTTGGCCTAGAGGTGGGGAGCTGGAGCAGGGGTACAGACCAGGTTGGGGGAGGAGTAGGGCAAATGGATGCCTCATCCAGAGAACAGAGAACTTAGATTCATTTTACTCTGATGATATTGGCATGGATTCCCATCCATTTATTTCCTTGTCTTAAGGAGTTGAATATTTGGTAGGGAAGGAGATGGATAGGCAATAAGTGAAGCTCACAGACAAGAGACATGCCCAAGGTCATCAAGAAACTATTGGCAGTAGAGATGCAAATAAACAGTGGTAAATATTTCGGTGTCTCCCTGATGACCCTGATTAGTTTTGTTTTTCAATCCCAAACTAAGCTGGGATGGTCCAGCTGGACTTGGGGTATATGATGAATGGCCTGTCTGCCCGTGCAATGAAGAATCATTCAGGTATGGAGAAAACCGTTTTGCAAACTTTGCAAAAGAGTCTGTGTATGATATGTGTGGTAAGCATGGCTGCGCTGAAAAAGTTGTTCTAAAATTATGGAAATATTCCAATAGTAACGAGAAACCTCACTTTTTTTTTGCAATTAGAATCCCTTAAGTAGGTTTGTTGCATGCTGTCTGGGCAGGAATGCAGCTGGTAGCTTGCTTATCTTGGATTTAGGAAATCTATCAGATAGGAAACCATAGTAGATGAGATTCTATGGAAGTCAGTCATACTTCAGTCCTATTGAAATCAGTGGGAGCCCANAAAAACTCATTACATATGATTGGGTGAGTGCATGCACACATTTGTGCCCATACCCATGTAAAATCTTACATGCATAACAGTATTCCCCTACCAGAACAGGAACCTGCAATCCGGAGCTGAGTACCCTGCTTCCTTCCCATGCTCCTCATCCAGTGCTCTCAAACTTCAATAAGCCCTCCCACCCTGCAGCCCCATGTATCCTGTCAGAAACCTTTCCCCACTCCCTTTCCCCATCCCAACCCCGCCCCTTCATCCCCACCCCTTCCCCCCTGCCTGGGGAGGAGGCGCTGCCTTTGTTCCGCCAAGGGTTAACCTGGATTGTGTCTGTCACCCAGTTGCCCGGATGCTGATGTAAGAGGAGAGCTGGAGAGATCCCTTCAGATTGCAGTGAGAGGAGGCGAAAGACCAGCCTGGGAGAAGAGCCTCGCCAGGAACATCCTTCATCCACAGCATCGTCTGGACCAGCTGAATGATGCTGGTACCCGGGCTGTAGCATTCTTCCTCCTTCTCTACCCTCCTTTTCCTGATGCCAAAAGCATCCCCCTCCCGCTAAACCCATCAGGATGCCGGCCTCGGTATTGTCCCTATAGGGGGGCACGGGGGGGGGGCTTGCCTTGCCTTGCTGTACCCCTTCCCATCCCACCACCCCATTTCTGATTGTTGCTCAGACAAAAGCCATGTCCAGTGGCAAAGAAGCAGGTGGGGTCCACCCCTACCAGTCGCAGCAGAGTCAGCAACATGCTCAGTATGTGGGGCCCTATCGGCTGGAGAAGACTCTGGGGAAAGGGCAGACTGGTGAGTCTCTGGCAGATTTGGAAGGGGGGTCTCGAAAGAGAGCACCAGTTCCACAGGGTGGGTATGGTATGAGTGGCTCAGCAGCTGAGAAAATTGCCTTCATCTTGGCTTCGGATGTATTTAAAGACAGAGGATAATGAAGGAACATCTGGGGTGTTTTGACCAAATGGTCCAGGTTAATTTGGCCNTAGATAGATAGATAGATAGATAGATAGATAGATAGATAGATAGATAGATAGATAGATAGATAGATAGATAGATAGATAGAGTTAGTTGGTGGAGAGGGGGGGACAGAGAGAGAGGGAGAGAGGATTTTGAATTCTCTCAAGAGACTGGTTGTAAGTCAGGAACTATCTTTAAATCTAGGCTGCCAAATCTATCAATGGATGACAGAAAGAAAGAAGTAAATAATTTACAAGGACATTAAATATGAAAGCTTGATTTTTTTTTTTAAAAAAAGCAAGACTAAAAAAATTAACTTTTGATTTTAAATTTATGTCTGCTGAATGGAGGACATGAAGACAAAATGGAAGACATATTCTCCTTTTGCTGGATGTTCAGGAACTTATAGTTATCCTATGTTACTCTCATTAACCGAGTAGGAATTTAGGAAAAGTCTAATTAAATCCAGGTGACTTTGTTACAGTGCAGGATGGATTCAATCTTTATTGTTATCTTTTAGTCTCAATGTTTATATTTATGATACGTTAATAAGAAATCATACAGAATAAAACTGATTTTATTTTCAAAGGGAGAAAGAAACTACCAGTATACAATTGTTATATACCAATACATACATACATACATACATACATACATACATACATACATACATACATACATACATACATACTGCATATTAGATATGCATCTATTGTATTTAAAAGTCAATCTGTTCTATATTTTTCCTTTGCTTCAGTCATGTTTGTTTCAATTCTCATAGATCTATGCCCGTAATGACGAACCTATGACGTGTGTGTGTGTGCAACATTTTGGGTGACAAATCAGTGTTCACCAACACCCAATCCTATTTTCATGTGATATTTGGAGGCTGCTGAATATGGCTTCCTATCCTCAAGCCTTGGCATGGATATTTTCCAATGAAACAGACTGAGACAGGAAGATCATTTCATTACAATTCATTCAAAGCACTCTGATTAAAAAGTATTCCTCTCATTCAAAGACAGCCTCTTGATTCTCAGCTTACATTCTGCTTTATAGTTAACACGTTATAGAAAATGCAAGAGAAAAGCTGATTGGACAGGACAAAAGTAACTTCCCTTTTGCATAGGAAATCAGTTACATGTGGACAAACATGTTACATGTAAGTCTATTTAAATGAGGTCTGATGAAAGCAAGAGCATTACATTTAAGATGTTAATGAGGAAAAAAAGTCATAAGATTGTTTGGAGTTCATAGAGAGAGACAAACCAGATACAGATAATCCTCGACTTACAACAGTTCATGTAGTGACTGTTTGAAATGGCGGTGAAAAAAGGGATTTATGGACATTTTTCACACTTACAACCGTTGCGGCATCTCTATGGTCATATAATTTACATTTGGATGCTTGACAACTGGCAGAGAAAGAATGGAGCAGAAGAAGGCTGTGAATGAACTAGAACTACCAAATTACAGGTAGTCCTCGACTTACAACAGTTCATGTAGTGACTGTTTGAAATGGCGGTGAAAAAAGGGATTTATGGACATTTTTCACACTTACAACCGTTGCGGCATCTCTATGGTCATATAATTTACATTTGGATGCTTGACAACTGGCAGAGAAAGAATGGAGCAGAAGAAGGCTGTGAATGAACTAGAGCAATCTGGCTGAGGAATTCTGGGAGTTGAAGTCCATAAGTCATAAAATTGCCAAGGTTGGAGACCCCTGAACCAGAGTTACCAATTACGGGTAGTCCTTACATCAGTTCATTTAGTGACCATTCAAAGTTACAGCGGCACTGAAAAAAATGACTTATGATAGTTTTTCACACTTAACACTATTTCAGCATCCCCATGGTCACTTGATTTATATTCAGATGCTTGACAACTGGTTCATATTTATGACGGCTGCAATGTCCCAAGGCCATGTGATTAACTTTTGCAGCTTTCTAACAAGCAAAATCAAAGGGGAAGCCAGATTCACTTAACGGCTGTGTTACTAACTTAACAACTGCAGTGATTTACTTAACAAATGTGGTTTAAAAAGGCCTAAAATGGGACAAAACGCACTTAAGAAATTTCTCACTTAGCAGCATAAATTTAGGTGCTCAACTGTGGTCCTAAATTGAGGATTACCTATGCCAGTTAACACTAACAGACTTTCTCTTATCAAAAGACAAAACTCCAGACATCCTTTCCTATCAGTTTAGGAACGTTAATCCATAAACAGTTTTCTACATCTCAGCCTGAAAATGGTTTTATTATTTAAAAAAAGAAAAAAAATATGTCAAATTAAAATGCAAAATAACTCTTATTAGCAAACATAACAATAATACGAAGTCTGTGTTGTGTGGCCCTCACTGCAGAGCCTGTGCAAGAACAGTGTGTGCTCTTCCGTGGTGTGTGGAGACAGTGGAAGCCATGGAAGAGCATTCTCTGAAGCTGCTTGAAGAACCAAAGCCTTGTTCAACGCGGAGCCATCTCAAGTAGATCGCAGGGGGCCTGTCAGAAAGAGGACACCACCTGAAGGTAAGCGACATGTAGCAGAGCCTGGGGAGCGCTGGGCTTGAAGATCTCAAGTTGGAATTAGGAAAGTTGTTAAAGAAATGGCTGAGGCGGAAAGTTGCAGCTGTGAGGCCAGTAATGAATGATGGGACATACTGTTGTCCTCAATTCAGGTCTGAGCCTGGTGCTGAATCCAATGGAGAACACCAGACGCGAAGAGCAGGTTTTCTTTCCTTTTATCGAAGCGCTCCAAGAAAAGGGGTCCTGGCTAGAAAATGCCAAGGAACCCCGAACAATAGAATTAAGAAAGCTTTATACATTTTCAGTAAAGCAAAAGGCAGGATATATAAAACAAATCATCTAATAATCTAACAATTGTCCTATTGGTCTCTAGCTGTCCCTGTCCTTAAACCTTGCTAATGAGTGCTCCATGAGTTATCTAATACACATTGTATTTGCTCCAGATCATCCCTATTCCTAACTTCTAGTTGAGGTCTGCAAGATGTCTAACTCTTTGTTACAGTTATCTGTAACAGTCCTCTAGCCACCTAGAATTGAAGTGTTACACATGCATATTCTCTGGGTTTCCTTTTAGCAGACAGCCCATCACTACTGTCCAACAACAAGAAAGTTACAAGAAATTTATAAGTTAGAAGGACACCTTAGAAGGATGCTAGCTAAGAAACACATAGATATATTACCTTTGGTAACCTCATTATAATAGTAAATCATGTTTTGATAAGAAAGCTTATTAGCATAAAGATGCAATGTGTGAAGGAGGGTAAGGCAGAAGAAACCAACCAAAAGATATGTGTCAAGGTACCATTAACTCTTTCTTAGGGTGTTAACTTGTTTATCATAGCTGTATAAATTTATATTTGTACATTGTTTTGGGCCTTGGCTCCTTTAGCTGCAAAGACCCTTTTGCTGGAGTACTGCATTAAAAGAAGCTGAAAACGCCATTCCTCGTGTCTGGTCTTTATTGGTTTCAGCACCAGGCTAGGACCCGTTTTGGGAACAACAGGCTGTGGGGGCAATTGTGTATGTGCTTTGTGGAGCAGCACAAAGCAGCCTTTTTATTGGGTAGCAGTGGCGCTAGGGCTGAAGTCGAGGCCTAGGCCTCAACTTCAGGCCCAGACTCAGTGCTATTGCCAAGTGCCACTATTCAGGATAATCTAGAGGTGAGGGAGATAGACAATTGTTTCTCTTTTACAATACAATAGCAGAGTTGGAAGGGACCTTGGAGGTCTTGTAGTCCAACCCCCTGCCTAGGAGGAAACCCTATACCATTTCAGACAAATGGCTATCCAATATCTTCTTAAAGACTTCCAGTGTTGGGGCATTCACAACTTCTGGAGGCAAGCTCTTCCACGGATTAATTGTTCTGTCAAGAAATTTCTCCTCAGTTCTAGGTTGCTTCTCTCCTTGATTAGTTTCCACCCATTGCTTCTTGTTCTACCCTCAGGTGTCTTGGAGAATAGTTTAACTCCCTCTTCGTTGTAGCAACCCCTGAGATATTGGAACACAGCTATCATGTCTCCCCTAGTCCTTCTTTCTCTTAAACTAGACATACCCAGTTCCTGCAACCGTTCTTCATATNGGCATGAATGCTAAGGCATCATATAGAAGCCCCTTTATTTCTTACACTGCAAGACAAGAAAAGGCAAATGTAAAGTATGCATTTGCTTTTCATTTTCATTTTCATTTTCATTTGGTTTGGTTTGGTTTGGTTTGGTTTGGTTTGGTTTGACAAATCCTGAGAAAATTTCCCACACAAATACAAATGCACATATAATTTAGTAGAGCGAAATTAATTCTCCAACAAGAAGCTGATCCTCTCCCCACTCCTCCCATAAGATGTACAGGTAGTCCTGGACTTACAACCACAATTGAACCCCAAATTTCCCCATGTTAAGTGAGACATTTGTTAAATGAATTTTGCCCCATTTTACGATCTTTTTTGCCTGTTAAGTGAATTACTGCAGTTGTTAATTTAGTAACCCTGCTGGTAAGTGAATCTGGCTTCCACATTGACTAATGCTTGTCAGAAGGTCGTAAAAGGGGATCACGTGACCTTGGGACACAGCAATGGTCATAAGTATGAACCAGTTGCTAAGCATCTGAATTTTGATCACATGATCGTGGGGATGTTACAAAGGTTTTAAGTGTGAAAAAATGGCCATAAGTCACTTTTTTCATTGCCGTTGTAACTTTGAATAGTCACTAAATGAAATGTTGTAAGTCCAAGACTACCTGTAAACTATTTTTTAAAAAACCTGTTACCATCTTTAATGAAATTGCTTTGGAAGTAGCATACATTTCCATGATAAACA